AGGACGCGGACCTACTCCCAGGCGTCCAACAGAAGGTCCACCAGGGCAAAGCCGACACGTCCGATGACCTCCTGGGCTTTGCTCTGGGCTTTGCAGGCCAGGGCTCTGCTCAAGGCAGTGCCCCAAGGGAAAAGGAGCTTGAGCCAGGGGACAAAGCCAAAAGACCACGAGGAAGCCCTGGTGTCTCATGCCCAAGAGGTTCACAGCCCAAGAGGACTTCCCCAGGGGCAGATGGCAAGAGAGAGATAGGCCCTGATAGATGGTGGAGTCACGAGATAAGCCAAAAGGGCTAGAGACAATACTTATCTTTTGTGAGGACCAGTCTCCAAGGAGGAAATGTAGCAGTAAAAAGCACAGGGTGGTGGAAACAGATACCCAGGCGGAAACATGTGTGGGAACGCAAGGGCTGATGTGGCCTAAGCCCACCACCCTGCCAGCCCTGGGGAGGGTCTTGCTTGGGGTACAGCACGTCACCATGTCCCACGCTCTCCTTCGCTCTGGTGAAGATGGTGATGAAGCCCCTGCCCCCCGAGCCGGCTCCCAGCGCAGCCGGCGAGATGAAGAAGGTGGTGGCCCTGTATGACTACTCGCCCATGAACGCGCAGGACCTGCAGCTGCAGAAGGGCGAGGAGTACTTCATCCTGGAGGAAAGCCACCTGCCCTGGTGGAAAGCCCGCGACAAGAACGGGTAAGAGCCCCACGCCTGTGTCCTGTCCCAGGGCCGAGGTGCCCATAGGAGAAGGCGCCTGAACCGACGTCCCTGCTGGGACAGCCTCAGGCCCCCCTGCCCTGCACCCAGGGGTCTATCCTGGTCTCAGGTCTTGAGCTGGCCAGCCCTGTGCTCCACAGTCGAGACAGGCCGCTTGCAGGGCTCTTTCATCATACAGCATGAGAGGAGGGTGAGGGAGACCGAAGCGGGCTGGAGTATTGCCAAGGGCACTAGCTCTCCCCAAGCAGGGACCCCAAAGGGTTCAGGCCAAACTTTTTGGGCCCATATGCACTCAGCTTGCTGGGACAGGAACCTACCTTTCCACTGGCCTCCTCCGTCTGTGCATGACCACCCCCTTTTCCCCTGCAGGAGGGAAGGCTACATCCCCAGCAACTACGTCACTGAAACCAGCAATTCCCTGGAGATCTTTGAGTGAGTAGGAGAAAGCACAGGGACACTGGAAGTTGCACTTGGAGACTTTTCACATTTGGTTTTGTTACACTGTGCCTGGCTGGGTCGCTCTGCCTCTCGTACACCCTTCGAGAGCCTCCCGGCCTGCGACAACCGCTGCCGAGAGCCCACACGCCTTCCTGCTTCCCTGCACTGGCTAGGCCAGGGTCGGGCCGGGCTGGGGACGGTGGTGGCTGTGGGGTGGCTCTCCTGACCGCTGTGTCCCTGCTCCAGGTGGTACTCCAAGAACATCACCCGGAGCCAAGCAGAGCAACTGCTGAAGCAGGAGGTAAGCGTTGATGCCTGGTGCTGGGTCCTTCGTAGCCCTTCCCAGACTGCTGTCCCATTGTGCCCAGTGTGGGATCCAGGCCCGCCAACACTGGGCACATCTCTGTGCTGGGGCTGCCAGCCAAACGGCCAGTGCCCGGAGCTCCTCCGACAGTCACAGCTGAGAATGAGAGGGAGGCAAGAGGCCCAGACAGTGGCCTGATCTCCGGGGGGACAAATCAGCGTCTCTCCTCTGAAATTACATGTGTCTAAGTGCAGTGGGTGGTGGGGCGCAGTGGATTCAGGTACGAGGTTGCCCCTTCCTCCACAGCAGATGGGGAGGGTAGGACAGCCTCGATCCCCAGCAGAAATGACTTAGGTAGCTGAGAGCCCCGAGGTCCCGATGTTAGGTCTTTGGGGCCTAGTTATCCCAAAGAGCCTGTGGGTGAGAGAGAACAAACCCTGCGGGCTGTGTCACCCCGACAGCTCTGGGAAGCAGCTCTGCCTCACTGCCGCCTCCTCCCAGGAGGCATTTCAGGAGGCAGAGACTGGAAAGAGGACTCCTTTGCCTTAATGCATCCTCTCCAGCCATGCTGGGATCCTCACTCACTTCAAGCCTTGCCTGTTACAGTCACCTCTCCTCACAAACACCCTGTCCCCTCTCTCCTTTCTGTTTTAGGGGAAGGAAGGGGGCTTCATTGTCCGAGACTCGACCAGCAAGACAGGCAAATACACCGTCTCCGTCTATGCCAAGTCCTCTGTGTAAGCAGATCCGAGAGGGCCCCTCAGGGCACGTCTCGCCCTCTGCCCGTCCTCCCCATGCCGCTGACCCCACGTCCTGTCTCTGCAGGGACCCCCAAGGCACAATTCGCCACTACGTCGTATGCTGCACCCCCCAGAATCAGTACTACCTGGCGGAAAAGCACCTCTTCAACACCATCCCGGAGCTCATCACGTACCACCAGCACAACTCTGCCGGTGAGCGTTCGTGGGCACCCGGCTCTAGCCTGCACCCGGTGCCCTTCATAAGTAGCATCTCCCCCACGGGCCAGGAGCCCTCGCTGCCGCGCCAGGCGAACAAGCACCCTCTCCCCTGCCTCTCCAAACCACCGCAGGCCGGCGCAGCCCAGAGGCAGCTTCAGCAAACCGCAGGGAAGTGGTGCACCGCACTGCAGCGCTTAGCAAAACACTGCCAAAATGAACCTCTGCTTTGCACGGCTTCAGTACCAGGGACCTCGTATTCCCCTGAGCACCCCTTCCCCCGGCTTCCTGCAGGGCAGCGTCTGCCTACCACCCCGCTGCACCCACCCACCAAGAGCTTCTAATAGGTGTTTGCTCTCCCGTGTGCCGACCTCGCCAGTGGCTGTAGTAAAGGGCTCAACTCCTGGCTGAAGGCGGGTGAAAGCAATATTGCTTTCTTCTACTGATGCCATTTCTGACAACCCTGTTCTGGATGAAAGCAAGATACAAAGCAATCTGACTTGCCCTGCAGACAAGCCTGCGTTCGCAGGGATAAAATGATAAATGACCTCTCAAACAGGGAACACAGAGAGCTGGAAGCAGCCCAGGGAAAGCTGGAACAAGAATGCTCCTTTGCAAGGAGAATCTGGGACAGGCTGAGCCAGAGAGGGGACAGGAGTCCTGGGGGACAGAGGGAGGCAGCAGGATTTTTACTGACACAACAGTATCCTCTCCTTGAGCTGAAGGCAGGAGGCTCATGTTCCTTGCTGGCACCGTGTGGGTAAACACGGCATAGAGGTATCCAGCAATGTACTTTTTTTGTGTTTCAGGGCTCATATCCAGACTGAAATACCCCGTGTCTCAACACCAGAAAAGTGCTCCTTCCACAGCTGGCCTCGGCTACGGTAAGCTGGCCTCGGCCACCTCGCTGTCTCGTGGTAGCAGTGCCCGAGGGGCCCTCAGCACAGTCCCTGCCTGCAGTAACTTGCCAGGGCTGGGATCCTGGCTTCTCCCACTGCAGCAGGGCTCACGGCCTTCCCAGCAATCACATCCCAACCCTCACGAGCCTGCTGGCGACAGCACTGACCACAGGACACCGCAAGCTACTTTGCTCCCCACCCCTTAGAAGAATAGATCTTAGATTTCATAGATTTGGCACAGGGCGGGGGGGATGATCTTTTGGGTAGCACATGCTCGTGAGGCATGGGAGCAAGGTCTTCTGGGACCGGCTAGATCGGACGGCTGGGAGCACTCTGCCCAGAGGGCTCCTGCACCCACATCACACTTGCGCTCTCTATCCTAGGGTCGTGGGAGATTGACCCGAAGGATCTGACTTTCCTGAAGGAACTGGGGACAGGGCAGTTTGGAGTGGTGAAGTACGGGAAATGGAGAGGCCAGTACAACGTCGCTATCAAGATGATCAGGGAAGGCTCCATGTCAGAGGATGAGTTTATCGACGAAGCCAAAGTCATGATGTAAGTGGTGACCAGCCCCCAGGCCTGTGCTGGAGAGACGCCTCGTTGGAAGGACTGCACTCTCGGACCATTCGTGCAATATGCATTCCTACTGCAGGAGCCTGCTCCCTCGGTGCTGAGCTCCCCAGCAAATTTTCCCACTGGCTGCTGGGCCAGGAGCCCCTTCCCTTGCCAAATTCTCCCCTTCCTTAATCAGAGATGCTTCTCCTGCTGCTCGGCCTTCTAGATGCTCAGAATTCGCCTTCTTGCTCCCGACACAGGAACCTGTCTCATGAGAAGCTGGTACAGCTCTACGGGGTCTGCACCAAGCAGCGTCCTATCTTCATCATCACTGAGTACATGGCCAACGGCTGCCTCCTGAACTTCCTGAGGGAATCTCGGCGGCGGTTCCAGCCCTCTGAGCTGCTGGAGATGTGCAAGGATGTCTGTGAAGCTATGGAGTACCTGGAATCCAAGCAGTTCTTGCACCGAGACCTGGTAGGGATGTGGCTGAAGGACACATCTCCAGCTCAGGGACAACCACAGCACGTTCTAGACAGGGTCTAGCTCATCCCCCAGCAGGAGGAGAGGCAACTCTGCAGCCTTCTCTTCAGAGCATCGCTCTGACCACCTCAGCACGGACAGGATGCTCACCACAGCATCTCTGAAGCCTGTGCTCTGCAGCGGGTTAGCAGAGATTGCAGAAAGGGCAGCACTATGCAGTTTTCTAGGATGCATTCTCAGCAAGTGCAGGACGTTGTGTCGGGCAGCCCAAGCAGGCATCGTTGGCTCCAGCGTAGATAGGGAGCGCTCAATCCCCACGAAAAGCTGAGCCTGCAGTTTCCATGACCAGGCCTCTGGCAGGCACTGCCAGCTTGCAGTCCTGCTATGTGACTTACCCAATCTCCTCCTGGCGCTGCTCTGTTCAGGCAAAATCCTGATGGGGCTATTGCCCCTTCGTGGATTAACAGGATGCCTGGAGGCTTCTTCTGCCATTGTTTGTGGCTTGCCCCAGCCCGAGTTAACTGTCTGGAGCAGCCTGCAGGATGAGGCTGGACAAAGCACTGAGTCACTGGAGGCAAGACAGTTTCAGATGCCACAGGGGGAAGGGAGAAGCAGTAGCAGGTAGGAGTGACTGCCGCCACCTCTCCACCCACAGGCTGCTCGCAACTGTTTGGTGAACGACCAAGGAATTGTGAAAGTCTCAGACTTCGGCCTTTCCAGGTCTGGTTGATGCGTCTGTGTCACTTTTCCTGTCTCGGTCCCCTGTCTCCTCCTTCGGTCCCTCCTGTACTTTAGTCTTCTCCCTACTGTCCACCAGCTCTGCTTTTCCTCTGCCTCCTCCTGTCTTTCTTCTTCCATTAGCCTCAACCTTCTGCCTGTCCACTTCCCACCCTCCCTTTCTTACTTCCTTCACCCCTCTTTCTCTTCTTGCTTCTTTCTTCCCCCATCTCTGATCTCCCAACTGCAGCTTTCTTCCTACATCCCCTTTTTGCCTCTTGCTATGCTCCTTTGTCTCTCTAGCCCTTTCCCCATCTTGCCTAACATACACTTGTTTGCAAAGGGATGTTTTTGCCTGTCGAACCACATCTGGAGTGCAAATTCTGATCGCTCCAAAAGCTGTTCATTCCTTTTGGGCTTGGTTGCATGGTGGGTGAAATCTGAAATCCAGGACAGGCTCCTCTGATGCATGTATCTGCTGCAGGTATGTTCTGGACGATGAGTATACAAGCTCCATGGGGTCAAAGTTTCCAGTTCGGTGGTCGCCCCCTGAAGTCCTTCTGTACAGCAAGTTCAGCAGCAAGTCTGACGTCTGGGCTTTTGGTGAGAGCACAGCATTAGTGATTTGGGGGTCTCAGGTGTAATTTGGTCGTCTCTTGGATTAGAGGGTGGCTCAGCAACAGCGAAGCTCCTCTGAAAAACAGCTCTAGGCACAGATATCCCCATGCTGTGAATTGTCCCTGGCTGTTTCCCTCAACAGGTGTTCTGATGTGGGAAGTTTACTCCCTGGGAAAGATGCCTTATGAGAGGTTTAACAACAGCGAGACAACAGAGCACGTCATCCAAGGCCTGCGCCTCTACCGACCGCAGCAGGCCTCAGAGCGGGTCTATGCCATCATGTACAGCTGCTGGCATGAGGTAAGTCACTTGGTGGTCACCTCTGTCCGCCCTGGGGTTGCTGAAGTGGCTCCCCAACTCACCGGGCCTTGGGAGAGGGTCTGGCAGTTGGGATGAGGTGGGGGCAGGTGGGATGCGAGCAGCTCCGGCATTGCTCTCCCTTCCTGCATTGCAGAAAGCTGAGGAGCGCCCCACGTTCACCATGCTGCTGGCCAGCATCCTGGACAGCACGGACGAGGAGCCGTGACCGTCCGAGCTGGGCCGTCGCTGCCCGCTCGCCCCTGCCTGGCACCGGTGGCTGGGACCCCCGGGCC